CAATAGGGTATTCTTGTTTCCCCCCCCCCCCCACAAGAGGGTATTTGTGCACTTGTTCTTGCCCCCCCCCACAATAGGGTATTCTTTCCCCCCCCCCACAATGGGGATATTCTTGTTCCCCCCCCCCACAATAGGGTTTCTTGTTCCCCCCCCCGCAATGGTCATTTCTTGGGGGTTATTCCCCCCCCCCCACAACAATGGGTATTATTGTTCCCCCCCCCCACAATGGGGTATTCTTATGCCCCCCCCCCCCCACATGGGGTATTCTTGTTCCTCCCCCCCCCCCCCCACAATGAGGTATTCTTGTCCTCAGGTCCCCCCCCCCACAATGGGATATTCTTGTCTCCCCCCCCCCCCACCACAATGGGTTTTTCTTGTTCTCAAGTCTCCCCCCCCCCCCCCCCCCCCCCCCACAATGGGGTCCTGGAACCCACACAGGGATACCGGCATCTGGGGGCATTTAGTGTTTCTTGCCTGTTTGTCAGCTATCCATTGAGAATATCCTGGCATAAGCCCATCTGATATGCAGAATGGAAGACCCAAGAAAGGTGATGCCTTCCATCTTGTCAGCCCTTTTCTCACAGAGTAGCGACATCAAACAAGCATGAGATCCATAATTCTATGGTCCCCAAGATAGAGACAGACAGGAGAGAGAGAGAGTTTGACTATTTTGCTGCCCGGTATCTTTGTGGTGAGGGAATATAGCTGGTTTGGCTTTAAAGGTTGTGGGTATATGAGTGCAAGTGCAGGCAGTTGAATAGACATGAGGTTCTTGTTTCATGTCCAACCAGTTCTGTAGCTTACATGAGATTTGAATCTGCCTCTGTTAATGTGGGAGACTCACTCAGCCATCTGCTTTTTTCCACTTGTGGGCAGTAGCATTTTTATTTATAAATATTTTTTTGATGCTCAGGAATAAGCACTGAAGTTTTTTTTTTCTTTCAGACAATAAATTTGGCATTAGCATTTAATATTGAACATTTTGGATATTCACAAATAAGGCATCCACTGATAGTTTGTGGCTCTGCATTCTTATTTTTACAGAAATCTGCACCTGGCAGTGTTACCTTATTCTGTTTCCTGATAAAAAAAAATGTGTCATCATCACATGGGGATTTCCATTAAAACATTTAAAAAAAAAAATTACACATCACTAATAATTATTGGAAAAATGTATTATCTACACTGACATTTTTTCTTCATATTTTATGGGTAAATAAATAGAAAACATTCCCCGAGGCCTTTACAATTAAGTTGCCAGGGGACCTATGCCATAACCTCCATCCCTGAGGCTTATGGGGAAATTGTACATCAACTTCTTCTTCTTTCCTCTACATCCTGGAATGCCTCCTGGCATCAGGACAGAAAGAGATCTCTGGAACAAGCCCTTCTAATCGCTTCATATAAAGTACTTTTCAGTGTCCTTGATATTTCTGTGGTCCATCCCACTGATTGCTATTTTCCGTTATTTGTATGCTGGCCAAATAAACACTAGCCAGGCGCACACAGAGCCACTGGAATTTACCGACACTTTTTGAGAAGAGGTCACTACACACATGGCAATATAGTGTCATTTAAGGTCACTACAGACATGGTCATATAGTGTCATTTAAGGTCATTGCAGACAATATCATATATTGTCATTTAAGGTCACTGCAGACATTGTCATATATTGTCATTTATGGTCACTGCAGACATGGTCATATATTGTCATTTAAGGTCACTGCAGACATGGTCATATATTGTCATTTATGGTCACTGCAGACATGGTCATATATTGTCATTTAAGGTCACTGCAGACATGGTCATATATTGTCATTTAAGGTCACTGTAGACATAGTCATATATTGTCATTTAAGGTCACTGTAGACATGGTCGTTTATCATTTAAGGTCACTGCAGACAAGGTCATATAGTGTCATTTAAGGTCACTGCAGACAAGGTCATATATTGTCATTTAAAGTCACTGCAGACAAGGTCATAGTCATTTAAGGTCACTGCAGACATGGTCATATATTGTCATTTATGGTCACTGCAGACATGGTCATATATTGTCATTTAAGGTCACTGCAGACATGGTCATATATTGTCATTTAAGGTCACTGCAGACATGGTCATATATTGTCATTTAAAGTCACTGCAGACATGGTCATATATTGTCATTTAAGGTCACTGCAGACATGGTCATATATTGTCATTTAAGGTCACTGCAGACATGGTCATATATTGTCATTTAAGGTCACTGCAGACATGGTCATATATTGTCATTTAAGGTCACTGCAGACAAGGTCATATATTGTCATTTAGGTCACTGCAGACATGGTCATATATTGTCATTTAAAGTCACTGCAGACATGGTCATATATTGTCATTTAAAGTCACTGCAGACATGGTCATATATTGTCATTTAAGGTCACTGCAGACATGGTCATATATTGTCATTTAAGGTCACTGCAGACATGGTCATATATTGTCATTTAAGGTTACTGCAGACAAGGTCATATATTACCATTTAAGGTTACTGCAGACAATGGTCATATATTGTCATTTAGGTCACTGCAGACATGGTCATATATTGTCATTTAAAGTCACTGCAGACAAGGTCATATATTGTCATTTAAAGTCACTGCAGACATGGTCATATATTGTCATTTAAAGTCACTGCAGACATGGTCATATATTGTCATTTAAGGTCACTGCAGACATGGTCATATATTGTCATTTAAGGTCACTGCAGACATGGTCATATATTGTCATTTAAGGTCATTGCAGAGACATGGTCATATATTGTCATTTAAGGTCACTGCAGACATGGTCATATATTGTCATTTAAGGTCACTGCAGACATGGTCATATATTGTCATTTAAGGTCACTGCAGACATGGTCATATATTGTCATTTAAGGTCACTGCAGACATGGTCATATATTGTCATTTAAGGTCACTGTAGACATGGTCGTTTATCATTTAAGGTCACTGCAGACATGGTCATATATTGTCATTTAAAGTCACTGCAGACATGGTCATATATTGTCATTTAAGGTCACTGCAGACATGGTCATATATTGTCATTTAAAGTCACTGCAGACAAGGTCATATATTGTCATTTAAGGTCACTGCAGACAAGGTCATATATTGTCATTTAAGGTCACTGCAGACAAGGTCATATATTGTCATTTAGGTCACTGCAGACATGGTCATATATTGTCATTTAAGGTCACTGCAGACATGGTCATATATTGTCATTTAAGGTCACTGCAGACATGGTCATATATTGTCATTTAAGGTCACTGCAGACATGGTCATATAGTGTCATTTAAAGTCACTGCAGACAAGGTCATATATTGTCATTTAAGGTCACTGCAGACAAGGTCATATATTGTCATTTAAGGTCACTGCAGATGAGGTCATATATTGTCAATTACGGGACTGTCACAACCAGAAGTGACTAGAACCAGTCTTGGCTGAGCAGCACGGTTACACACCTGTCTGTATATACATTCCACTTTCAGCCAAACTAAAACTGCAGAGCTGCAGTTTGGTCCCCTGCACATTTGTTTGTGTGTGCTGGTGCCTGACATAAGTGATCTTCTCTCTCCATAAACCAATTTCCGTATCAATAATGTTACAACATGAGGAGTGGCTGGCTGAGATGTTAAGAGCGCTGGGCTCTCTCTAGGAAGGCCTAGGTTCAAATCCTCCGACAAGTGATTTTGTTGTTGTCAGGAGTAAACATAAAATTCTAACCTGCACAATCTGTAGTGAGCCTTAATCCTCAGGGTTCATGACCTTTTGTTCCAGGCTTTACTGTAAAGTGATAAAAACAGGAAGTCCAGACTGATCATCATCATCAGGTGCTGGTAAATATAGGCTGTCATCTTTCACTATCTCACACAATTACCAAAATCTTGGATCAGCTCAGTGTTCTTGTTTTTTCTTATCTGTATGGCCAAACCATCCAGGTTTTTTTATCTCTTTGCCTTCCTCTTGCTCTGTTTCCATCTGTCTTGCCAGTTGTTATTGAGTTCATTCTGTCTCATAACATCTCGGAAAAACACTGCCTTCATCTATGTTTAGATACTAAACTGTGTTATCTTGCCTCTGTGTCTCCACCAACCGCTGTCTCCATCAGCGTGACTGGATGTTTAGATACTAAACTGTGTTATCTTGCCTCTGTGTCTCCACCAACCGCTGTCTCCATCAGCGTGACTGGATGTTTAGATACTAAACTGTGTTATCTTGCCTCTGTGTCTCCACCAACCGCTGTCTCCATCAGCGTGACTGGATGTTTAGATACTAAACTGTTTTATCTTGCCTCTCGTGTCTCCATCAGCGTGACTGGATGTTTAGATACTAAACTGTGTTATCTTGCCTCTGTGTCTCCACCAACCGCTGTCTCCATCAGCGTGACTGGATGTTTAGATACTAAACTGTGTTATCTTGCCTCTGTGTCTCCACCAACCGCTGTCTCCATCAGCGTGACTGGATGTTTAGATACTAAACTGTTTTATCTTGCCTCTCGTGTCTGCATCAGCGTGACTGGATGTTTAGATACTAAACTGTTATCTTGCCTCTGTGTCTCCACCAACCGCTGTCTTCACCAACCGCTGTCTCCACCAACTGCTGTCTTCACTAACCACTGTCGCCACCAACCACTGTCTCCATCAGCGTGACTGGATGTTTAGATACTAAACTGTTTTATCTTGCCTCTCGTGTCTCCATCAGCGTGACTGGATGTTTAGATACTAAACTGTGTTATCTTGCCTCTCGTGTCTCCACCAACCGCTGTCTCCACCAACTGCTGTCTTCACTAACCACTGTCGCCACCAACCACTGTCTCCATCAGCGTGACTGGATGTTTAGATACTTAACTGTTTTATCTTGCCTCTGTGTCTCCACCAACCGCTGTCTCCACCAACTGCTGTCTTCACTAACCACTGTCTCCACCAACCGCTGTCTCCATCAACTTGACCGGTTGTTGACATGTATCGCACGGGTTGACTCATGATCTCAACACATCTTTCATCATATTTCTGTACTTCTGCTGATCTCCAAGCATCTCCAGAAACACTTGGAATTTTTTCTCGTGGAAACTGGAATTTTGAAAAGACAAATTAAACTTTCATGGAAGCTGGAGTGTTGAAAATAAATCACATTTTCATGGAAACTGGCATATTGAAGACTGGAATTTTTAAAATACGGATGAAAGTTTAATGAAAACTGGAATGTTGAAGAAAAAACATAAAACCTTTACCAGCAACACGCTAGATATGTCACCAGCAACAGATACATTACCTGGTTCAATTCCAACTGTAGAAAGTTGGACAGCAGACAGCTTTAAAATGATTTCAACAATGGTATTGAGAGTCAGCTGTTCAGAAATGAATGGCAAACTATCAAATGTAAAATTGCTTAGTTAACCTGAACAGTAAAAAAAAAAAGGCTGGGGTTGGTTCTGCAATCTCTTGTGAGGGAGACACCATTAATGTTTTGTCCCCTTCTGCCCTGAGAAGCCTAAACCTAGTTACTTCCAGTTGTGACATAAAAGTCGATGTATTGGCCTTTTGACAGTACCGTGTTCTTGAAAATCAATTAATGCCATTTGGTGCAGCATTTAGGAGGCCTGGATATGAATATACTTACTATAACTAGCATGGGAAATGGGGTTCCTGTGAACCAAATAGCATTTTTAAAAACCACCGTGACATCAGAATTTCTCATAGCCTCAGTGATTGAGGTCAGAAATCAGTTACCTGATATACATATTTGTTAGATCTCTGGGAATGCATTTCATTTAATGTTTCACTCTGTTCACGTTAATTTATTTCACCCTTTATATCTGTCAACAACAAACAATGATTTTTTTTTTTTTCAAGTTGATTAGTCACCTGTGGAGAATTGTTATAATTTTTTCAGCAAATAATTTGTATTAATTAACAGGGAAATGTCAAATACAAATAAAGATCCTGTGACATAACATGGGTTGGTTAGGTATATGTTGCTAATGGCCGGCTAGTAAACAAATCAGTGGGTCAGGTGTTTAATATATTTAACAAATTGGTCATCATAAATGGAACTATTGCAAATACAAGAAACAGTGGAGACGTAGTTACCTGGACACTGCTGCATCAGGGTCAACAACTGACCCCTGGCCACCCATCGCCAACATAACAGACTGAAAACATACCAGTAAAGTTCATTTGAGAAACACATGTCTAAGCCAGTGGGCTGAACAATTTATATTTAAATTGTCTTTGGTTTATTTGAAACTAGAACTATAGCAAGAATGTATCTAATTCAACTGTCTTATTGTTGCAGAAGAAAGGGAGTTTCTTCCTTAGGAGTATTGTCTGGATTTTTTCACCGGGGTCGCCGGTGTGTTGGGAAATGAACAGGCGGATGGACTGGCTGGCTCTGCACAACATGGTGGAATACTGATACATGATAGGGCAGACGTGGTTAGTGCCTTGTGGGAGAGCGTGTACAATTTGGACGAGCAGATGGATCACCACAGTCTGGTGAGATTGATGCAGTTGGGGGGTGACGAGAGGTTCTGGCAGATGCTCGAGGCTCAGAGGAAAGGCAAGACGGACGTTTAATCAGAATGATACTGGCACCATTAGTATCGGAACTCTTCGCTGGCTGCTGAAGATGGGGACGGAGCGCTTATGGGAATGCCCCAAGTGCTGTGATGTCGGTTCTTGAATCAAATCAAATCAAATTCTTCTTTTCCTTTCTGCCATTTAATGAATCATTTTAATTCAATCATCTTACGCTAAATCTAAATTAGACTCCTGGCACATATAAACCTGCAGTGATAGGCACATGACAATGCATACACCAAAAGAACAACCATATACAAGAGGAATACAACTCTACTGTTGAAACGCACAATTATTTGATGGCACACTTTTATTAGTTGACGGGAAAGCCTACATGTCTAAAAACTATCAGTGAACCGGATGCAAAAAAGGACTGTCAGTTGATTGGCTGGACATTAAGGTTTTCTTGCATGCAATCTGAAGTTTCACTCATTAAATTACAGAGATTTTGAATGGCAAAATTGTGTTTCTATGAGTTTCCTTTTTTTTTTTTCAGGGGGGGGGGGGGGGGGGGGGGGGGATACAAATACATGGTGGAATAAGACTCAGGGAAGTGGCCCACTGGAAGACTAAAACAAGGATTTATTTAAACAGGAAATGAAAAACCTTGACACAGATAAACAAACATGGAGGGGAGATGTTTCAGTAGTCACCCTGGAGAAGCAATGAGTGAAACAAACTGGTGCAGTCTGATCCAGAAATGTGAGGACAAGAGGCACCAGCAAAAAATGCAGCCACTTGCTGTTGGACCTGCCTCATCTTACAGATGCAAAAACTGGCAGAGACTGTCACTCTGGCATTGGACTTTCTCCTCATCAGCCGGGCTGTCAGACTGCCCCGCAGCACACCTCAGTAGTGCGGCCGGACTGACAGAAGGCCTACTACTCAGGAATACAAAGGGTCAACAGAAGCTTTTAGTGCACAAGGAAATTGTAAGAGTCAAATTTAATCTAGTCCCAAAATTTAAAAGACTGACTCCTACGTCATAACAGAAGCACTTAATGGAGGGCTCTACTTTGAACGGCGCCCTAAAATGGCGGCTTTAATATGATGCCACATTCTGGCCATAAAATATCCAAAAATATCTGAACGGTGTTCAGGCGTATCTAAAATACGGACTTTCTCCCAAGGGACAAATCGCGGCAAAACTAATATTACTTGACAATCAAAATCAACATTGCACACGGTAGTAGCAGACGATAAATACCGACCGTTGACAATTTCGAGCGTTTCTGCAGACAACGGTACTAGCAGACGATATTAGCGACCGTTGACCAATTTTGAGACATTACAGACGATGAAAGCCGATTAGCAATTCTGTGTTCTTCCGATGGGAGGATTTAGCAGCGGTAGATGTCAGACTTGTCAGCATGCGCCAAACGCGATTACACTTATCGTGCGGATGGGGGGGGGGGAGGTAAACTAGGTACCTGGGACTCACGAGTAAAGTAACTGGAGGAAGTTGCAGGAGATGCGGTAGCTGCTGCTCGTGAGTCCCAGCCATCTAGTTTAGTCCCCATCCGCGCTGCGCTTAGCTGCGCGGGGGATACGGTCGGCTGTGAGGCACACTCGCAGAAGCAAGTCCGCAAGTAACATATCGCCGAGACCCTGTTAGAGCATTTGTTTTGTTATACGGAGCCGGCACATATATGTTTAGTAGAACTAAGCCGCATTCAGATATTTTTGGATATTTTATGGCCAGAATGTGGCCAATTTGGCACTCTTTCGAACGGCATCATATTATGGCCGCCATTTTAGGGCGCCGTTCAAAGTAGAGCCGAATGGAGAATAATTAAAACATTTACTGATAAACCATATTTATTAGCTTGTTTTCTGCACATAATAGAGGGAATTAAATGATATGACACAACCACTAGTGGGAGCTTGTAAGGAGAACTAAACAAATTCTAGCAAATTAAAGAGATAAGAAGGACAAGACAAAGGTACTGTACAGGTACTTTGCAGAACACCTATATCATCACAGTCTGCCTGAAGGAAACTCTGTCTCTCACCAGCTCTCCCACCTGGTGCACTTTCATATCCAAAGAGTCACTTATATCCTGTGCCCATCTAGGTTTTGGTCAGCCCCTGCCTCTCCTCCTTGGTACCATGTCTTCTGATATTATTTTCCAATCCGTCGTGGCCCTTGATATGGCCAAAATATTTCAGCTTCCGAGACAAGATGCTGTTTATTAGCCAGGGTTCCTTGATGTTCAGATCTCTAGAAAGTCAGTATTTCTTCTCTTCTTTATCCATGATATTCTGAGACTTTTGAGGTTTGTTTTTGGCTTAGAACTGTGAATTAGAGATAGATGGAAACATTTAGGGAGGATATGCTGTGAGCTGCAGGTGATAGCAACAGACAGAAAGACTTGGTCTCACTTGGCTGAAAGACTGTTCTAAAAAAGCATTAGCAGCAGCAGAAGTCAGAGGTAGTGCTGGACAGTGGCCCTAACTGACCTGAAGGCTGTCAAATTTTCCTGAAGCAAACGCTCCCAACATGGCAGCTCCTAACAGAACTGACTGGTCAACTTCTGGTAGGACAACCGGCAGTCCTGTGTCAGATTGCAAAAGAAACCAAATATTCAACAAATAACAGACAACTTTTAAAGGGGTAGAAATTTGTGTGATTCTTGGTTTCTTTCATCAAACACTTTGTATGTGCCCCTGGTTTCTCATTTTAAACATGACATGATATCAATCAACATACCATGACAAGATATCAATCAACATACCATGACAAGATATCAATCAACATATGATGACAAGATATCAATCAACATACCATGACAAGATATCAATCAACATACCATGACAAGATATCAATCAACAAACCATGACAAGATATCAATCAACATACCATGACAAGATATCAGTCAACATACCATGACAAGATATCAACCAACATACCATGACAAGATATCAATCAACATACCATGACAAGATATCAATCAACATAGCATGACAAGATATCAATCAACATACCATGACAAGATATCAATCAACATACCATGACAAGATATCAATCAACATACCATGACAAGATATCAATCAACATACCATGACAAGATATCAATCAACATACCATGACAAGATATCAATCAACATACCATGACAAGATATCAATCAACATACCATGACAAGATATCAATCAACATATGATGACAAGATATCAATCAACATACCATGACAAGATATCAATCAACATACCATAAGATCTTAATCAACTTACCATGACAAGATGTCAATTAAATTCAGAAGTAGAACTAACCAGCTTCAGATTATCACAATCATAAAGGATCAGTAAATGTTGAGGCTAGAAAGGCTTCTTCAGCATATATAACAAATGGACAATGATACAAACAAGAGTAAAAAAAAAAAAAAACACACACACATAACTTATCTGTATGTAAGCTGAAAAATGTCACAGAAATATCCTTAAATGCCTTAATAGTAGATACTCTTACTCACATGTAATGCACAAAAAGGCTGACTAGTAGTATTGACAAGGGTCATGACACGGACACTTTTACACATTTATGTGTTGGACGTTAAATCCTTTAGGTGAGAGAGAGCCCATTAGTCAGGTAAGACAGTATTCAAGAGACTTGCTGACTCTTTTACTGGAATGGCTAGACTGGATGGCCAAAACTTCCCTGCAATAAACAAGCCAGAAATCCTCTATAAACAAAACAAGAGAATAAGCCAGAAATCCTCTATAAACAAATCATAGAATAAATCAGAATTCCTCCATAGACTAAACACACAATAAGATAGAATTACTCCATAAAGATAAAACAAAATAGTGTAGAATTCTTCTTTAAACATTTAACAGAATAAGATAGAATTTCTCTACAGATAAAATCATTGTATGAGCCAAAATTTTAGAATTCCTCTACGGACAAAATCACTGAATAAGCCAGAATTTCTATATAAACATGTCACACAAAAATCTTTATAAAAACTGAGAACGCTCACCCAGAACATCAGCGTGTGTTTGAACATAGAGTCTGTTGTTGCGAAGGCCACCACACAGGTAAACAGTGGATATCATGTGGCCGCTCTTCTCCATCTCTGCGATTATATGACGTGTTCCATACTGGCAATGAAACAATAAACCAAATCACATTCATGTTCTATACTAAGTACAAACTGGTCTGTGGCAGTGTACACACACTTCTGAAATTCACAAGTACCCGTCTATAATTAACTATTTCACGTCCAGGCAACAGAGGCCCTACGGTAAAGAAAACAAGAATAGACCTACTGCCTCACAAAAAAAGCATATCATGAGTTCACTATAATAAACTTTCACTTCCAGGAAACAGAGGCCCTATGGTAAAGAAAACAAGAATAGACCTACTGCCTCCCCCAAAAAGCATTTCATAAGAAATCTCGGCTATCCTCCGAATAAAGGTCTCTAATTATCAAGGCCGAAAATATACCCTAACAGGGCCTCAGTCACATGTCAATTGTGGACTTCCGGCGACTACCGCCACCGCCGAGAGTATCTCCCACGTCTCCATGCACGGCGTAGAGCGGGGCTAAACTAGATGGCTGAGACTCCCGAGCAAATAAAATGAAGGAAGCTGCAGGAGATGTGGTAGCTGCTGCTCGTGAGTCTAGTTTAGCCGCGCATAGCGGCGTGGGAGATACTTTTGGCGGTGGCGGTAATCGCCGGAAGTCCGCAGTCCCTAATATGAAAAAATTTAAAAATCATAATTATGTTCACGTAAATTTATTTCAAAATATGCAACGATATGTAAAGAGATGAATCAATAAAACAAGAACAGAATGAAGCATTCAATGGAATAAATTCTTCAGATCATAAAATAAAATCTAACAGGTGACTCATGCTGTCACCCCATGATCTTTTACCCAGGCTACAGAGAAGGTTTGACAACATGGCTTTATTATTTAAAAAAAAGGGACTTTGTTCACAAATAAACAATCCGAAATGCTTTTTTTTTTTTTTTCAAAGTTAATATACTGACACTCTGACTTCCTGAATGATCAGCAAGTGTGAACACAACCATGTTTCTCGTAAACAGGTTAGTGTAGAAAAGTCAGTTAAGGGCTTTTTCTCGAGCAATATTTTTAGTTATTACCAGATCATCACATTTGTGAAAACCTTCAAAGACTTGAAGAGTTCTCATACAACACATTCAACAATTGTTCAGTTTACATCTGTTTATACATAAAATATCCAATAATTGTTCAGTTTTTGTATCTGCCTCACAAATAACATATCCAACAATTGTTCAATTATTCTTTCTGCCTCACAAATAACATATCCAACAATTGCTCAATTATTGTATCTTCCTCACAAGTAACATATCCAACAACTGTTGTATCTGCCTCACAAATAACATATCCAACAACTGTTGTATCTGCCTCACAAATAACATATCCAACAACTGTTGTATCTGCCTCACAAGTAACATATCCAAAAACTGTTGTATCTGCCTCACAGATAACATATCTAATTGTTGGATCTGCCTCAAAAATAACATATCCAACAACTGCTCAATTGTTTTATCTGCCTCACAAATAACATATCCAACAACTGCTCAATTGTTGTATCTGCTTCACAAATAACATATCCAACAATTGTTTTATCTGCCTCACAAGTAACATATCTAACAACTGTTGTATCTGCCTCACAAATAACATATCCAACAATTGTTCAATTGTTGTATATACCTCACATATAACATATGCAACAAGACATCTGACTCACAGCCAGGGCTTGGATGGTGGCGAGGTAGAGCAGTGCCAGATCATCCTCTGTAGCTGAGAGACTCAGACCACAGATCTGCAACCAGAACAACATTCATCAAACATGGAGGAACAAACACCCATGGTGTGATCAGATTACACAAAACATGGAGGAACAAACACCCATGATGTGATCAGATTACACAAAACATGAAGGAACAAACACCCATGATGTGATCAGATTACACAAAACATGGAGGAACAAACACCCATGATGTGATCAGATTACACAAAACATGAAGGAACAAACACCCATGATGTGATCAGATTACACAAAACATGGAGGAACAAACACCCATGATGTGATCAGATTACACAAAACATGAAGGAACAAACACCCATGATGTGATCAGATTACACAAAACATGGAGGAACAAACACCCATGATGTGATCAGATTACACAAAACATGAAGGAACAAACACCCATGATGTGATCAGATTACACAAAACATGAAGGAACAAACACACAGGATGTGATCAGATTACACAAAACATGGAGGAACAAACACCCATGATGTAATCAGATTACACAAAACATGAAGGAACAAACACCCATGATGTAATCAGATTACACAAAACATGGAGGAACAAACACACAGGATGTAATCAGATTACACAAAACATGAAAAAGAAAAACACGCATAATCTAATTACACAAAACATTTGTTTAAAGTCATGATAATCTTCCTCGGGTTCTATTTCATATATTTTCTTCCCTGTGTAGTTTCTGAAGCCCTGTTATGAGGAAAACAAGAAAAGCCCCACTACCCCCCCCCCCCCCCTTCCCAAGAAAAGTATGTTATAAGGGTTGACTAATTAAGGGCTTCTCTAAAGCCATACTGCATCTGCATGAGAGGCAAGGAACCAACGGTCTGCATACAAATAAGCTACAACTGTTTTTAATGGACGTGCAAGCAACACTTTGGATTTTGAACAATCCTGAAGTCCAGAAATGGATGAACAACCAGAACTTTCAGCCAGAGTTTACAGCCTGTGAACTCGAAGAAGAAGCTGTGTTGAGCTGGTGAGGAAAGCAATTGTTTTATTTGGATCTCCCGTGTTCCTGGCTTCTGAAAATGATCTTGTTCTCATCTGTACCAAGCTGGGTCAATCTCAGAGTTGTCCTGGCAGAGAAATGATCTGCCAATGTCACAGACTGAATCAGGATGGCAGATTGAATCAGGACGACTGAATGAATCAGGGCAATAGCTTTAGAATTGAGCTGAGTTGAGTTGATTATAGAACCAATATCACAGCACTCATGGTATTCCCATAAGTGCTCCATCCCCATCTTCAGCAGCCAGCGCAGAGTTTTAATACCAATAGTGCCAGTAGTGGTCTGAGCATATGTCCTTTTGCCTTTCTTAAGGACCGGGCGTCAGTTCACGGATGTCAGTCGTGGACTATCTCCCAGCCCTTAAGAAAGAAAACGGGGGCCTGGAAAGGGGGGGGGGGGGGGGGGGGGGGGGGGGGGGGGGTTCTGGTCTGAAATGCTCAGAATACCATGAACAAAGAAGAAAAGAAAAACTGACATTTTAAAAGATGTGAACTTCAAGCAAGTTTGGCTAATGAACAGCATCCTGTCTTGGAAGTTGAAATATTTTTGTCATATCAAGCGCCACAGCAGATTCAAACAAATAGCAAAAGGCATGGTACCAGCAAAAGGGACAAGGGCCAGCCAACATGAAGATGGGCACATGATATAGGTGACTCCTTGAATATAAAAGTACACGAGGCTGGAGAACTGGCGAGAGTCCGAGTTTCTTCAGGCAGACCATGATGAGAGCAGTGTTCTTCAAAAGGAGCTGCTACATGATGATGATGGATTCCATCCATGACATCAAAAGGATCGAACAGGATAGAAAGGAAATGAGCACCAGACTTCATGCCATATGTCAGGTATGACAGCAGGCCCCGATGATGATGATGTTAAATATGTCTGACTCCTGTTACATGAGTAAATGACAAGGCAAAACAACAAATCTTCACCAAATCATCCCTCTACTACCATGAGTAAATGACAGGGTAAATACACAACAGGGCACAACATACTTTGTCAACATATGTTCACATTTTGCAGTGTAGGAAACACAGAGATGTATCCTTGCTGTGTGGCACCCGGAAATATTGAGCATAGGCTCCAACACTTTCAACTACATGCTGACAACTTACACAATCTGGCCTGTTCCAACCACAATGAAGACAAAACTGTATGGCAGATAAGAAGAAATGCACTGCACACGATAGCTTTCATAAAGGTCACCAGCCTCCTGATATAAGTTTTCTGAGAGAAGGATCGAAGAAGAAGAAGATGATTTACAATACCATTCCTCTAAGGCTGGCGTCTGCTACTGGTGACCTGTTGCCATGGAAATCAGGCCACACATGAAAGCCATGGGTTAGGTGTGCTACAGTCTGGAAATGATTTCTGACTGCCATTTGTTGAAGATGATCATTGAGATATTCGTATTCATGCAAGCCTCTGAAAAAATCAATTTATTTGTTTCACATAAATATTTCACAATGGCTTTTTAATTAACTAAAACAATGGAGGTTGACAGTGGCAGCTCCTTGCATCCACTACTGTCTTTGAGGAATGTCTTCTTCGTCTTCTTCTGTGTTCAACTGAGGACGTAAATGCACTGTGCCTGTTTTAATAACATGGCTGCGATGATATTTGCGCCTTAAGACTGACACATCCTATTGCCTGCGTTAGACTTCCTGGTTAGTTTCATGGGATACTACAGTCTCACTGTCTGTTGTGTGGTCACCTTAGTTTACTAGTTCATAGGTGGTGCCCCCCCCCCACCTCCCTCCTTCCCTTCCCCTCCCACCATGCACGCATGCACACACACACACACACAAAGAGAGAGAGAGAGACACACACACAGAGAAAGAGAGAAAGAGAGAGAGAGAGAGAGTAAGAGAGAGAGAGAGAACTGACCTAAATAATCCATATGTGTTACCTGGTTGTAGGTAACACATGCCTAACATCTGATTTCTGAAACGCATTCTGGCATGTAAAAGGCATTAAATATTTAACCACTACACAATAAAACATCACAGGATCTTCCAACTTTAGACTTACCGGTCGACAGCTTTGGTCTTAGTCTCCGAGAAAGCTGGATGGCTAGATGTCACAAAATCAATCTGCAAGTTAATTATAGTGAGTTAATGACAGTTTTTGACAGTCATGTTGTTACAAATGTGATAAAAAAAGAGTTGACTGTACTCAAGGAAGTATGCTGGCAGAATCCCTAACATACAATAAATCTTGGTTTACCTTAGTCTTAGTCAAGGTTTCAACTTCACTGTAATCGGGTTTTCCCATACTTGTTCCATCCATAAAATGAAACTCCCTCACTGTCCTATTAAAAAAACTAGTGAACAAATAATTAGTCCCAGTACAATCCAGAAATAGGTGTTTGCAGTAAATGCATATGGCAGCTGCTAGAGGCACCAAAGCCGACAATCGTCACCAGAAATACAATTTGTTATTGATGGAAATACTTGGGCACAATAAGTTGGCTACACACACGTAGAATTATTACATAAGGTATTTCACCAGCTCACAGGTAAACCGGCTACCAGCCATACTGAATATCACTACACACCTGCTGCACAAATGAAGAGAATTCCATATAAAAAACACAGCTCACAGTTCTGTACCAAGCACTAAACTCAGTAGCTCAGGCAGTGAAACCGTCGACTACAGTCCATACTTGGAAACTGCATTAGCAAAGCACTGTTGGAAGCAAAAAATAACTTCGAAGTTTAACATTTTGCCATACCTAATCCTCGTTTTTAGACCGGAAGTCGGTTTACATGTCAGTCAACCAACAGTCCTAATGATTTCCTTTTGAGGCTCAAATGTCCATCAGTCACATGTTCTCAGGAATAAAGAGCAAACACTGAGATGTCTGACCATCAAATCTCTTACTGTGTGACTGGAATGTCACCGAAGTCTGACAGTCAGATGCCCTACTGTGTGACTGGAATGTCACCGAAGTCTGACAGTCAGATGCTCTACTGTGTGACTGGAATGTTACAGAAGTCTGACAGTCAGATGCCCCACTGGTTGACTGGAATGTTACAGAAGTCTGACAGTCAGATGCCCCACTGTGTGACTGGAATGTTACAGAAGTCTGACAGTCAGATGCCCTACTGGGTGACTGGAACATTACACAAGTCTGACAGCCAGATGCCAGAAGTCTGACAGTCAGATGCCCTGACTGGAATGTTACAGAAGTCTGACAGTCAGATGCCCTACTGTGTGACTGGAATGTTACAGAAGTCTGACAGTCAGATGCCCTACTGTGTGACTGGAATGTTTCAGAAGTCTGACAGTCAGATGCCCTACTGTGTGACTGGAATGTTACAGAAGTCTGACAGTCAGATGCCCTACTGTGTGACTGGAATGTTACAGAAGTCTGACAGTCAGATGCCCTACTGTGTGACTGGAATGTTACAGAAGTCTGACAGTCAGATGCCCTTTGGAATGTTACAGAAGTCTGACAGTCAGATGCCCTGGACTGTGTGACTGGAATGTTACAGAAGTCTGACAGTCAGATGCCCTACTGTGTGACTGTCAGATGTGTACAGAAGTCTGACAGTCAGATGCCCTACTGTGTGACTGGAATGTTACAGAAGTCTACAGTCAGATGCCTCTGACAGTGCCCTACAGAAGTCTGAAGTCCAGTCAGATGCCCTACTGTGTGACTGGAATGTTACAGAAGTCTGACAGTCAGATGCCCTACTGTGTGACTGGAATGTTACAGAAGTCGGACAGTCAGATGCCCTACTGTGTGACTGGAATGTTATGCCCTACTGTGAAGTCTGACAGTCAGATGCCCTACTGTGTGACTGGAATGTTACAGAAGTCTGACAGTCAGATGCCCTACTGTGTGACTGGAATGTTACAGAAGTCTGACAGTCAGATGCCCTACTGTGTGACTGGAATGTTACAGAAGTCTGACAGTCAGATGCCCTACTGTGTGACTGGAATGTCACCGAAGTCTGACAGTCAGATGCCCTACTGTGTGACTGGAATGTTCACAGAAGTCTGACAGTCAGATGCCCTACTGTGTGACTGGAATGTTACAGAAGTCTGACAGTCAGATGCCCTACTGGGTGACTGGAATGTTACAGAAGTCTGACAGTCAGATGCCCTACTGGGTGACTGGAATGTTACAGAAGTCTGACAGTCAGATGCCTTACTGTGTGACTGGAATGTTTCAGAAGTCTGACAGTCAGATGCCCTACTGTGTGACTGGAATGTTACAGAAGTCTGACAGTCAGATGCCCTACTGTGTGACGGACAAGGTTCAGATGTCCACTACCATTAGCCTCACTCATCTGAGTGTCGAGACCCAACGGGGAAGCCACACCTGATGCATTCTTGTTGTTGAGTTGTTGCAATGCAGAACACTAACAACAGCAAAAGGGTTCAAGGTGTCTAACGTGCTGAAAAGTTATGCCCACTTATTAGGTCATCAAAGTCCCAGACCTGCGGGCTGCTTCCTGTTGATCTCAAAGAGCCCAGCCTGTGATGAGTGGGAAGCTCAACATTTGGATGTGAGGTTAAACAGTCATGAGCAGGACGTGACGATTCTCTGGGTGAGCCCAGGACCAGAACATCAGGTGTCCACTCTGCATTTACTAAAGCCTCCTTGGATACAGATGGTAACAATGATCAATGAGAGCTTAAGCTACACACAGACATACAGTAAAATTGATCAGTTAGAGATGTATTTACCAGACGTCCTGCAACACTCTGTCCACCTTCGTTGACCCACATGCCTGGAACCATGGCGGAGTAGTAGGGACCCCAGACACCAGGAACTGATACAGAGGTTCGAGTGCACTGTGAGAACAGAAAACCAGTCATTAATCATTGTTCCTGTGTCATCATCATAATGTGCCCTGCTGCTAAATGTAGGCTGTTGTTGTTCCCCATCTTCATTATCACAAGAACCATGGATCATGTCAGTGCCCTTGTCCTACACCCATTCATGTGGCCAAACCATCCAATTGTTTATCTCTTCGTCTTCCTCTTGCTCTCTTTCCCTCTAGCTCGCCTGTTGTCCCAAATTCTCAAACATTTTCCTTATCAGATGTTAAACAAATGTGACAGTCTACATCTTATAACTTCTTTAAACAGTTTGCAATTTTCCTCTGTGTCTCAAGGATCACTGCCCTTTTTTTACCCTCATCTTCTGAAGACCACTACCCCCCCTCCCTTCCCATTGTGAAAACTGTCGCTTCCCCTGCTGTAATGTCTTTCACTGTGACAGGTTGAGTATAACACCTGTGAAGAGAAGAAAGGACAACGCTGTCACATGCTGAGTGTCATCATGTATAAAGAACAGGACAGTAATGTCTTACAATGATGTGGCAAGTTGAGGTCCCAGCAATTATAACGATGCGGTTGTCCAAGTCTGCCAATGTTTCCTTGTGACTGCTGGCAACTGGAGTACACCCAACACATGCTGCGGACATTTTAGAATGTAGCATTTGGTTATATTATTTCATATGTAGTTATAATTATAAGTACAATAATACTTTAAAGTCAAAGTATTTCTTATAACTGCAATAACATTTTAAATGCGCTAACTTTCATATACAAAGAATAAACCGTGGATGGATACAGTACTGGGTGTCCCATCAGTGTTTACAGATAGGAAAAATAAACACATCACCAACGCCATTCTAACCATAACTGCATCTGTGCCTGAATGTGTTCTTCACCATGGAGGACACACATCCAACTGTTTTCAATACAATGGCAACTGTGTAGTGCATATTACAGAAATAAAAATGGTTGTCATAAAAACATGTTCATTTTCCCTATGAAAACTTACGGGAACACGCTGTAGTGAAGATGGTGTTATGTGGAGTGGTAGGAAATGTCTACAAAGTGAGGCAGTTGGTCCCATATACCAATCATCATCTGCTTGTGCTTTATACATCATATATGGCTGCCTCACACACCAGAAACGGACAATTAAATTTAGATTTCAAACTGGTAAGAACAAACCACGGTTACCATATGTAAAAGAAATACTGGGGACTCAGGACTTTGCTCATGTAGACGAGCAACCCAGAATACACGTTCTTCATACAACAGACACCACAACATCTAGCATGAGAATGGAGGTGGAGGTGGTAAGTGCAGCGTTCTGGTAGCTAGAGAACAAGATGCATACACATGTAATTGTAACAGACTCTGAAATCATGCTGAAGACAGTGATGCTTCAAGCAGAGTGGCAAGCTTCACTGGGAAGGTCACAGGTAGTGAGCATACTTTGGATCTTTTCTCTAGGCTATGCACACATAGTTGGTAATGAACAGGCAGACAGACTGGCTGGATATGCACCACTGGGTGGTGAATTGATACATGACAAGGAAGATGTGGTCAAGGCTCTTTGGGAACACACAATGGAATCAGTGAGAAAGAAGATTATTATGGCCTGGAGAGAATGAGGTACCTGGATGTAACCAGAGGGTCTGGCCGGCTCACTACACTCAGAGGAAAGGCAAGACAGACATTTAACCAGATTGTGACCAGTACCATCAGCTGGCTGCTGAAGATAAGGACGGAGCACGCATGGGAATGCCCCTAGTGCTTTGATGTCAATCCTTGCTCAATTCAACTCAACATACAACAGACAGATCCCAGGCCGGCCCACTTTCTGCTGCAAACTAATCTGTATGTATCGCACCACAGTCTTCAGAAAGGTCTTATTTGAAAACCACTGACAGGAGAACGAAAATGAGAAGAAGAGATTGAAGAATCTGGTCTTAGTTTATGCTTGTTGATTGGTATGCTAAACAATCAGTAAATATAAAATCAACAATCACATTGATCTCTCATAAAAATGGTCACAAACTGAAAATTCTTGACTTTGGGATCTCACCCAATGCCCCAGCATGTGCATCAATCATGGATGTTCCTACAGGTGTTCCGGGGATAAGGCCAAGTTCTTCAGCTGCCTGGTTGGACAAGCCAGACCCACAAGGGGAGCCGACATCTTGCTGAAGGTTACCTGAAACAACACACACACACAAACAAGCAGCAATGAAAGGTCATCACTTCTAGTTCAGATAAAAGTGAAATAAAAATGAGTACCCAAAAATTTACAGAATTTTCTCAGATGGTAAAGTGATAAAGGCACTTTATCAAACACATTCTAAGAAGAGACGAACAGAGAATCGCTACATGGGTACTGACATAAGAAAGAGAGGGACTGAGGAAATGCGGGCGTCAAAGAGAAACACTAAGGTGAACGTTTATGACAGAAGCCAAAGGTGCTGGACTCGACTCTATCCATGATATCAAAGTGGCTGCACAGAATCGAATTGAATGCAGGAATAAACTGCGAGCCCATTGTGACACATAATGCAAAAATTGAGAATTGAAACAAACAGTTATGAAGGAATGAATTAAAAATGGCATCACAGGTGTGGGCACTTCAACGGGCTCCTTCTCTGCTAGCTGATAGGTGCTGTTCTCTGATGGTCATAGTTGTATCCTGATTACAAGTGCATCTAGCTTGCACATCTGGACCATTCTCAGCTCTCTCAACTGCATCAGTCTCAAGTGTCCCCATAGCACTCAGGATACTCCCACAAGTATTCCGTTCCCATCTGCAGCCAAAGACCAGACTCTGATGGAACCAGTAGCAGTTTGACTGTCTGTCACTCTTGCCTTTCCTCTCAGTTTGACTGTCTGTCACTCTTGCCTTTCCTCTCAGTTTGACTGTCTGTCACTCTTGCCTTTCCTCTCAGTTTGACTGTCTGTCACTCTTTGCCTTTCCTCTCAGTTTGACTGTCTGTCACTCTTGCCTTTCCTCTCAGTTTGACTGTCTGTCACTCTTGCCTTTCCTCTCAGTTTGACTGTCTGTCACTCTTGCCTTTCCTCTCAGTTTGACTGTCTGTCACTCTTGCCTTTCCTCTCAGTTTGACTGTCTGTCACTCTTGCCTTTCCTCTCAGTTTGACTGTCTGTCACTCTTGCCTTTCCTCTCAGTTTGACTGTCTGTCACTCTTGCCTTTCCTCTCAGTTTGACTGTCTGTCACTCTTGCCTTTCCTCTCAGTTTGACTGTCTGTCACTCTTGCCTTTCCTCTCAGTTTGACTGTCTGTCACTCTTGCCTTTCCTCTCAGTTTGACTGTCTGTCACTCTTGCCTTTCCTCTCAGTTGACTGTCTGTCACTCTTGCCTTTCCTCTCAGTTTGACTGTCTGTCACTCTTGCCTTTCCTCTCAGTTTGACTGTCTGTCACTCTTGCCTTTCCTCTCAGTTTGACTGTCTGTCACTCTTGCCTTTCCTCTCAGTTTGACTGTCTGTCACTCTTGCCTTTCCTCTCAGTTTGACTGTCTGTCACTCTTGCCTTTCCTCTGTCAGTTTCCTCTCAGTTTGACTGTCTGTCACTCTTGCCTTTCCTCTCAGTTTGACTGTCTGTCACTCTTGCCTTTCCTCTCAGTTTGACTGTCTGTCACTCTTGCCTTTCCTCTCAGTTTGACTGTCTGTCACTCTTGCCTTTCCTCTCAGTTTGACTGTCTGTCACTCTTGCCTTTCCTCTCAGTTTGACTGTCTGTCACTCTTGCCTTTCCTCTCAGTTTGACTGTCTGTCACTCTTGCCTTTCCTCTCAGTTTGACTGTCTGTCACTCTTGCCTTTCCTCTCAGTTTGACTGTCTGTCACTCTTGCCTTTCCTCTCAGTTTGACTGTCTGTCACTCTTGCCTTTCCTCTCAGTTTGACTGTCTGTCACTCTTGCCTTTCCTCTCAGTTTGACTGTCTGTCACTCTTGCCTTTCCTCTCTCAGTTTGACTGTCACTCTTGCCTTTCCTCTCAGTTTGACTGTCTGTCACTCTTGCCTTTCCTCTCAGCCTTGACTGTCTGTCACTCTTGCCTTTCCTCTCAGTTTGACTGTCTGTCACTCTTGCCTTTCCTCTCAGTTTGACTGTCTGTCTCTTCTCAGTTTGACTGTCTGTCACTCTTGCCTCTCAGTTTGACTGTCTGTCACTCTTGCCTTTCCTCTCAGTTTGACTGTCTGTCACTCTTGCCTTTCCTCTCAGTTTGACTGTCTGTCACTCTTGCCTTTCCTCTCAGTTTGACTGTCTGTCACTCTTGCCTTTCCTCTCAGTTTGACTGTCTGTCACTCTTGCCTTTCCTCTCAGTTTGACTGTCTGTCACTCTTGCCTTTCCTTTCTCAGTTTGACTGTCTGTCACTCTTGCCTTTCCTCTCAGTTTGACTGTCTGTCACTCTTGCCTTTCCTCTCAGTTTGACTGTCTGTCACTCTTGCCTTTCTTGCCTTTCTCTCAGTTTGACTGTCTGTCACTCTTGCCTTTCCTCTCAGTTTGACTGTCTGTCACTCTTGCCTTTCCTCTCAGTTTGACTGTCTGTCACTCTTGCCTTTCCTCTCAGTTTGACTGTCTGTCACTCTTGCCTTTCCTCTCAGTTTGACTGTCACTGTTGCCTCTTGCCTTTCCTCTCAGTTTGACTGTCTGTCACTCTTGCCTTTCCTCTCAGTTTGACTGTCTGTCACTCTTGCCTTTCCTCTCAGTTTGACTGTCTGTCACTCTTGCCTTTCCTCTCAGTTTGACTGTCTGTCACTCTTGCCTTTGCCTCTCAGTTTGACTGTCTGTCACTCTTGCCTTTCCTCTCAGTTTGACTGTCTGTCACTCCTTGCCTTTCCTCTCAGTTTGACTGTCTGTCACTCTTGCCTTTCCTCTCAGTTTGACTGTCTGTCACTCTTGCCTTTCCTCTCAGTTTGACTGTCTGTCACTCTTGCCTTTCCTCTCAGTTTGACTGTCTGTCACTCTTGCCTTTCCTCTTTGACTGTCTGTCACTCTTGCCTTCCTCTCTCAGTTTGACTGTCTGTCACTCTTGCCTTTCCTCTCAGTTTGACTGTCTGTCACTCTTGCCTTTCCTCTCAGTTTGACTGTCTGTCACTCTTGCCTTTCCTCTCAGTTTGACTGTCTGTCACTCTTGCCTTTCCTCTCAGTTTGACTGTCTGTCACTCTTGCCTTTCCTCTCAGTTTGACTGTCTGTCACTCTTGCCTTTCCTCTCAGTTTGACTGTCTGTCACTCTTGCCTTTCCTCTCAGTTTGACTGTCTGTCACTCTTGCCTTTCCTCTCAGTTTGACTGTCTGTCACTGTTGTTTGACACTCTTGCCTTTCCTCTCAGTTTGACTGTCTGTCACTCTTGCTGTTCTTTTTCCTCTCAGTTTGACTGTTTGACTGTCACTCTTGCCTTTCCTCTCAGTTTGACTGTCTGTCACTCTTGCCTTTCCTCTCAGTTTGACTGTCTGTCACTCTTGCCTTTCCTCTCAGTTTGACTGTCTGTCACTCTTGCCTTTCCTCTCAGTTTGACTGTCTGTCACTCTTGCCTTTCCTCTCAGTTTGACTGTCTGTCAGTTTGACTGTCTGCCTTTCCTTTCCTCTCAGTTTGACTGTCTGTCACTCTTGCCTTTCCTCTCAGTTTGACTGTCTGTCACTCTTGCCTTTCCTCTCAGTTTGACTGTCTGTCACTCTTGCCTTTCCTCTCAGTTTGACTGTCTGTCACTCTTGCCTTTCCTCTCAGTTTGACTGTCTGTCACTCTTGCCTTTCCTCTCAGTTTGACTGTCTGTCACTCTTGCCTTTCCTCTCAGTTTGACTGTCTGTCACTCTTGCCTTTCCTCTCAGTTTGACTGTCTGTCACTCTTGCCTTTCTGTCTGTCACTCTTGCCTTTCCTCTCAGTTTGACTGTCTGTCACTCTTGCCTTTCCTCTCAGTTTGACTGTCTGTCACTCTTGCCTTTCCTCTCAGTTTGACTGTCTGTCACTCTTGCCTTTCCTCTCAGTTTGACTGTCTGTCACTCTTGCCTTTCCTCTCAGTTTGACTGTCTGTCACTCTTGCCTTTCCTCTCAGTTTGACTGTCTGTCACTCTTGCCTTTCCTCTCAGTTTGAATGTCAATACTCCATTCTGTTGTACTGTCTGTTTGAACTCAGAGTCTTCACCACCACCATCTTATTAATTAGTAGACTGTCACCCAGAGGAGCAGCAGCAGTCAATCTGTCAGCATCACTCAGGAGAGTAACTAATCACCATACTTCACATACAACAGCCATAGAATACATATATATATATATTCACATCATTATCATCATCATGAACAATGCAGCTCAGTGTAGGTTGTCCATTTTGCTATCTCTCCTGATCATTAGACCACTAGAATCATGGATCAAGTCAGTGTTCTTTTCTCATTCCATCGATATGGCTAGGTCATCATAATATATACCCTATTTCCCCATGTATAGACGCACCTCGACTTTGTGACCAGAAATTTTGAGAAAAAAATGATTACATAAAGATCTACTACCACAGTGTAATGTGCACACTGTTTTAGACCAAATATTTTTTTGGGGGAAAAGTGTATTTATTGCGTTTTTCTTGATGGCCTTCCACCAACCTGCCAGTTTGGCAAGACTGACAGAAAAAGAGCAAGGGGATGAAATAAACATATAATAAAGAGATAACTACCTGGACGGCTGTGCCATATCAATGGGGACAAAATAAGAACTCTGAACTGATCAGTGATTTCGGTGTTTGTAATGATAAAATAAGACAGTCAATTCTTCTTGGCATGGAACATGAAGATGATGATGAAACTGTTTAATTCTATCTCCTTGCACATCTGGTTTGGTAATTGTCCTGGTTTGCTGTGTTAAATAGTTAAGAATGTTGTAGATTGTAGTTGTTGTAATTGACTGCTACTGGCTGGAACCCTACAAGGACAATAATACATGAGGTGGTTCGTACTGAGACATAGATATGATGATGTTTTTACCAAGCTTGGAATGGTTGTTTTCTGTGAGATCCCCGAGGTCTATGAGAGCCAGAAAGTCATCGTCCCAGCAAAGCCTGCCATCGCTGTCGGCCTGGAAGCCCCACTTACAAACAAGAGAACACAGCGACCTTCAGGAAGGAGTAAGTCAAGAGGTGCTTAAATCAATTCACAACAAAGTATTTGATTGAAAACTCAATGTACTAATAGTTTTTTTGTAAAAACACAAAGCATTACTAGATGTTTTGTTTAAAACTTAATATACAACTAGATATTTTAATTAAAATTTAATGCACAACTAAATTTTGTATTGAAAACTCAACACATAATTAGATTTTTTTTTAAATTTGATGCTGAACTAGTTATTTTATTGAAAACTCAAGGCACAAATATAAATTTTGTTGAAAACTCAATGCACAAATATAAATTTTGTTGAAAACTCAAGGCACAAATATAAATTTTGTTGAAAACTCAATGCACAACTAGATATTTTTTTGGAAACAATGTGCAACCAGACATTTTGTTGAAATTCAATGAACAATTAGATACTTTTCTGAAAACTCAATGCACAACTAGATATTTTGTTGAAAATTCAATGAGCAGCTAGATAGTTTAATAAAAACTTGATGCACAACTAGATATTTTTAATGAAACTACTGAAAATTCAATGCATAACCAGATATTTTACAGAGAACTCAGTGCACAACTAAATGTATTATTGAGAATTCAATCACAACTAGATACGCCCCCCCCCTCTCTCTCTCTTCCCATTCTCTCTCTTCCCCTCTTTCTCTCTCTTCCCTCTTTCTCTCCCTTTTCTCTCTCTCTCTCAGACTGAGAATCCATCAACCCGGCGGCTTTGAGATACCAGATAAGAGATTTTGTGTATTTGTGTAGTATTGTTTGATTTGTATGTGCTGATGAAGGCTCCATAGCTGCAACATTCACGGTTTGTTTGTATTTGTTATACTGTGAAGCTTGTTAATTTACTTTTCGTTCGGTTTTATATCTTTTCTCATTCTCTCAACACTGGCTACATACCGACTGAGACTGCCAGTTGCTCGCCATGTCAGAAAATCTGGCAGGTCAAATAGATGTGCAGCCCGCTGCCAGGTACTTGGAATGTTCTGAAGGACCAAAAAAAGATGGACTGAGCTGAACAACTGATGACAACAGCCATACGCTAGCAAATATCAGGAATGCATGCGCTAAACAGTATCAGATTTATCGATTATATAATACCTCAATAGCTATAAGTTCCAGAATCAAGTGCATTATTTTCCACAAGCCTGAAATTAAGTACAAATATTTTCAGAAGTCCTGTAATAAAGTGTGTTATTTTACCAAGTCCTGGAATAAAGTGTGTTATTTTACCAAGTCCTGTAATAAAGTGTGTTATTTTACCAAGTCCTGTAATAAAGTGTGTTATTTTACCAAGTCCTGTAATAAAGTGTGTTATTTTACCAAGTCCTGGAATAAAGTGTGTTATTTTACCAAGTCCTGTAATAAAGTGTGTTATTTTACCAAGTCCTGTAATAAAGTGTGTTATTTTACCAAGTCCTGGAATAAAGTGTGTTATTTTACCAAGTCTTAGAATGAGTTCATTATTTCCCCAACCCTGGAACAGATTGTATTATCCTTTCCAAGTCATGGAATTTAGTGCATTCTGCCTTAAAGTGTGGAACTGGGTTCTTTATATTCATGCTCATTTTTCATTTAGTCCACATGATTGTTCACTTGTTCTGTTTTAAAGCTGTATGCCTCTGAACATCTGCGTATTTGTCCGGAGTAATAAGATGTTAATACTTACTGAACTACTATGAGTGTTGTTGTTGTTGAATATTAGTCTAAGAACTAATATCTCAGTACTAGGGACATTCTCACAAGCACTCTGTCCTCAACTTCAGCAGCCAGTGAGAAGTTCCACATCCAATAATGCCAGTGGCAGTTTGTTTACATGTCTGTTTTGCTTTTTCTCTGAGTGTAGAGTGTCAATCAGACTCCTTGGTCACTCCTAGTTGTACCGTTCTCTCCTCTGAGTGTAGAGTGTCAATCAGACCCCTTGGTCACTCCTAGCTGTACCGTTCTCTCCTCTGTGTGTAGAGTGTCAATCAGACCCCTTGGTCACTCCTAGTTGTACCATTCTCTCCTCCAAGTGTAGAGTGTCAATCAGACTCCTTGGTCACTCCTAGTTGTACCGTTCTCTCCTCTGAGTGTAGAGTGTCAATCAGACCCCTTGGTCACTCCTAGTTGTACCGTTCTCTCTTCTGAGTGTAGAGTGTCAATCAGACCCCTTGGTCACTCCTAGTTGTACCATTCTCTCCTCCGAGTGTAGAGTGTCAATCAGACTCCTTGGTCACTCCTAGTTGTACCGTTCTCTCCTCTGAGTGTAGAGTGTCAATCAGACCCCTTGGTCACTCCTAGCTGTACCGTTCTCTCCTCTGAGTGTAGAGTGTCAATCAGACCCCTTGGTCACTCCTAGTTGTACCATTCTCTCCTCTGAGTGTAGAGTGTCAATCAGACCCCTTAGTCACTCCCAGCTGTACCGCTCTCTCCAGAATGATCTATTTGTGCATCCACTGCTCTCTTGCTCCCAAAGGGCTGCTTATCATGCATAAATTCATCACCCATTGGTGCCCACCCAGCCAATCTGTCTGTCTATTCATTTCCCGACAATTCTGCATCCCCCAGAGAAAATATCTTAAGAACAACTACCTGAGACCTCTAAAGTGATGCTTATCACTCTTTATGAGTTGGGTATAATTATGACATGATTATGTAGCAGGTTTTCAAGCCAGCGGTAAGCTGCTGTGACTGCCTTCACCTCCATTCTTAACTAGATCTTGCAGTATCATACACTAGATTTTGTTGCACAAAACAACATCCATTTACTTTTGCTAAGAAACCCCAAGCATTGCTTCTGCCACTCAAAACAGTCATCTGCAAGACTAAACAGATCAGCTGGGCAGCAATGATCATAAACCAACTGTTCAATTAAACTGAACAACTATAAATTACACCTACTTGTTTGAGCCATTTCAGTTTTGGAGGCTGCATTTCAAGAGACATTATCCCCCCGACTGACTTGAGAACACTATGCCTGGTTGCAGTAATCACATCTGCTTCTTTCTGAGCTCTATGGTCCATCCACATAATGATGTTTTGGCTTTCTTCACCTGTAGAACATCATGTACCTGGTCAGCAGAAATTAATATCTAATGGTGAAAGCTTGTTTAAAAAACATGGATTAAAATGTTAACTACTATGAAAATACTCTGTGACTGTACAGAATAGAAATAATAAAATAGTCTGAAGGAATCACCAATGTGAAGCTTTTTCCAGTGAATTGGGAGGTGATATGCTGACACTGGATAGGACACTCACTGTGAAAAGTGTGAATATTATGGCTAGAAAGTCCTTCCTCTAGAACCCACAGGGCAAACTTGTTACTTGTTGTCCGTATTGACATCCTAGCACATCCGTACAATCAGTTTGTGTTCCATCCTCTGATACAGCAGCCATCTCAATGTCTGAATGCTCAAAGTCGCCAGTCGGAGTTGACTGGCATATCTTCTTTCTTGGACCTGAAACCAGTTTTGGCGTACCTGTCCTCATTTGATACAGGTGGCTCATCGTCTCTGCCAAAGAGGCAGAGATCAACACTTCAATGAGGCAACTGCAGGAAGAGAAAAAATGAAGAAGAAGAACAAGAAGAAGAAGAAGTTCTTGGTATGAGCTGGAAGAGAGCCTACATTCTACTGGGAGATAAAATCAGAAGAAGAAAAAGAAGACAGACAGAGACAGACATACTCACACACGCATGCGCACAAACACATTTGCATGTGAGTGCGCACACAGCACAACCCCCCCCCCCCCCCCCCCCTCCCCCCCCCCCCCCCCCCCCCTCCCCCCATGTCATTCTGAAAAAAAAAAATAAGAAAACACTACAGACCATCCAAAGACACAGTGACTGGCTGAAACCTGTCCCCAAGAACAACCAAGGAACAAGTTGCATCAAATCCGATTCCCACAATCCTCTCAGGTTTGACCTTTGCCTCAGATATGACAGCCTGTAACAAATGCAAGGTAAATCATCAACATAAAATGGATAATAAGAACTATAATATGTAGCATAATTAACACTCTCACCCCATAAAAATCTTCAAAAATGGCCCTTTTTTTCATATTTTGCACAGTAAAAAAAAATGCATCTCTGAGACTGTACCTTAAGATGGCAGTTGTCATGGCCTAGCAGTTAGACACTCGCCTGTGGATCTGGAAGTCTGGGGTTCAGGCCCTGACACAGCTGGACTTTTTTCAAAAATAACACTGGCTCCCAGGTCAACCCAGTCTTAAATGGGTGCCAGGTAAAGTCCTGGGAGGTAAAGGTGGCCTGCATAATGTTGACCATGTCATCCACTGAGTGCCGATTGGTCTATAAAATATATCTAGCCTAATGTTCACAATATAAAAGGTGTGAAAAGGGGTTCTTGACTGTTACTACCTTCAGTAGCAAATAGGCAGGCATGAATTCTCTGTCTCTTTAATGATGTGCCTTAAAGAAACATTTCTTTCGTAACTAAATTTCTAAATCTCAAGTAACTTTTATTCTTTCACTCTTCGAGTCCCAGGGGGTTAAGCATCAGAAACCCAAGGGATAGTAAAGAGATATGTATAATCAGCGCACTGTGCATTTACTGGGCTTCTAGTTTGGAACCAATGAGCATAAAATGAATTCCTTGGGATCGAAAGAGTTAAACAAAATTTAATTTGATGACTTTTGATAAGACAAAGCTCACCCTGACAGTGTGAACATAAAGCTCACCCTGACAGTGTGAACACAGATAAAGCTTACCCTGACAGTGTGAACAAAGACAAAGTTCACCCTGACAGTGTGAACAAAGACACAGCTCACCCTGACAGAGTGAACACAAAGCTCACCCTGACAGTGTGAACAAAGACACAGCTCACCCTGACAGTGTGAATAAAGACACAACTCACCCTGACAGTGTGAACAAAGACACAGCTCACCCTGACAGTGTGAACACAAAGCTTACCCTGACAGTGTGAACAAAGACACAGCTCACCCTGACAGTGTGAACACAAAGCTCACCCTGACAGTGTGAACAAAGACACAGCTCACCCTGACAGTGAACAAAGACAAAGCTCACCCTGACAGTGTGAACAAAGACACAGCTCACCCTGACAGTGAACAAAGACAAAGCTCACCCTGACAGTGTGAACACAGATAAAGCTTACCCTGACAGTGTGAACAAAGACAAAGTTCACCCTGACAGTGTGAACACAAAGCTCACCCTGACAGTGTGAACAAAGACACAGCTCACCCTGACAGTGTGAACAAAGACACAGCTCACACTGACAGTGTGAACACAAAGCTCACCCTGACAGTGTGAACACAAAGCTCACCCTGACAGTGTGAACAAAGACACAGCTCACCCTGACAGTGTGAACAAAGACAAAGTTCACCCTGACAGTGTGAACACAAAGCTCACCCTGACAGTGTGAACAAAGACACAGCTCACCCTGACAGTGTGAACAAAGACACAGCTCACCCTGACAGTGTGAACAAAGACAAAGTTCACCCTGACAGTGTGAACACAAAGCTCACCCTGACAGTGTGAACAAAGACACAGCTCACCCTGACAGTGTGAACAAAGACAAAGTTCACCCTGACAGTGTGAACACAAAGCTCACCCTGACAGTGTGAACAAAGACACAGCTCACCCTGACAGTGTGAACAAAGACACAGCTCACCCTGACAGTGTGAACAAAGACAAAGCTCACCCTGACAGTGTGAACAAAGACAAAGCTCACCCTGACAGTGTGAACACAGATAAAGCTTACCCTGACAGTGTGAACAAAGACAAAGTTCACCCTGACAGTGTGAACAAAGACACAGCTCACCCTGACAGTGTGAACACAAAGCTCACCCTGACAGTGTGAACAAAGACACAGCTCACCCTGACAGTGTGAACAAAGACAAAGCTCACCCTGACAGTGTGAACAAACACAAAGCTCACCCTGACAGTGTGAACAAAGACAAAGCTTACCCTGACAGTGTGAACAAAGACACAGCTCACCCTGACAGTGTGAACAAAGACAAAGCTCACCCTGACAGTGTGAACACAAAGCTCACCCTGACAGTGTGAATAAAGACAAAGCTCACCCTGACAGTGTGAACAAAGACAAAGCTCACCCTGACAGTGTGAACAAAGACAAAGCTCACTCTGACAGTGTGAACAAAGACAAAGCTCACCCTGACAGTGTGAACAAAGTGTGAAGACAGACAAAGCTCACCCTGACAGTGTGAACAAAGTGTGAAGACAGACAAAGCTCACCCTGACAGTGTGAACAAAGACAAAGCTCACCCTGACAGTGTGAACACAGACAAAGCTCACCCTGACAGTGTGAACAAAGACAAAGCTCACCCTGACAGTGTGAACACAGACAAAGCTCACCCTGACAGTGTGAACAAAGACAAAGCTCACCCTGACAGTGTGAACACAGACAAAGCTCACCCTGACAGTGTGAACAAAGACAAAGCTCACCCTGACAGTGTGAAGACAGACAAAGCTCACCCTGACAGTGTGAACACAGACAAAGCTCACCCTGACAGTGTGAACACAGACAAAGCTCACCCTGACAGTGTGAACACAGACAAAGCTCACCCTGACAGTGTGAACAAAGACAAAGCTCACCCTGACAGTGTGAACAAAGACAAAGCTCACCCTGACAGTGTGAACAAAGTGTGAAGACAGACAAAGCTCACCCTGACAGTGTGAACAAAGTGTGAAGACAGACAAAGCTCACCCTGACAGTGTGAACAAAGACAAAGCTCACCCTGACAATGTGAACAAAGACAAAGCTCACCCTGACAGTGTGAACAAAGACAAAGCTCACCCTGACAGTGTGAACAAAGACACGGCTCACCCTGACAGTGTGAACAAAGACAAAGCTCACCCTGACAATGTGAACAAAGACAAAGCTCACCCTGACAGTGTGAACAAAGACAAAGCTCACCCTGACAGTGTGAACAAAGACAAAGCTCACCCTGACAGTGTGAACAAAGACAAAGCTCACCCTGACAGTGTGAACAAAGACAAAGCTCACCCTGACAGTGTGAACAAAGACACAGCTCACCCTGACAGTGTGAACACAAAGCTTACCCTGACAGTGTGAACAAAGACAAAGCTCACCCTGACAGTGTGAACACAAAGCTTACCCTGACAGTGTGAACAAAGACACAGCTCACCCTGACAGTGTGAACACAAAGCTTACCCTGACAGTGTGAACAAAGACAAAGCTCACCCTGACAGTGTGAACACAGACACAGCTCACCCTGACAGTGTGAACAAAGACACAGCTCACCCTGACAGTGTGAACAAAGACAAAGCTCACCCTGACAGTGTACACAACAGCACTCCAGATTTCCTCTGATGACTGCTGATAATGATCAGGCCTTGGGTTCCAGACTGTGATCCCTTTCACAGCCACAGAGAGGATCTTGCCACTGACATCAACTACACAAGCTCTGACACTGGCAGTGCCGACATCCACTCCGATGTAGTAGTCCCCCATTCTGTTAATATCATAGAAAGGTCCTTTTTTCACACATGTGTGCATATGGTGCTAACTGCATATTTTTATAGACAGTTTTGCTCATTTGGCTTCCTGGTTCCTGTGGTGGGGAAAAAAAAGGGGGGGGGGGGGGTGTAGAACAGAACCTCCCTATCAACCTGCAGTAAAAGTTTACTAATAAAAAGTGTTTCCTTAAAAATCAGACTTTCTCTGTCAATCTGTCTGCATTCAAATAAGCCAGTACTGTAAAACAGATTTTCACAGAAAGCTAAGTTCTAGAACAAGACTAAGATCTTTGCACCAGAGCTTGAAGCCAGTAAACGTGATGAAAAAGAAGTACAGAACGTTTTTGTTTGTGTTCACCAGCTGTAAAGTCCTGCTTATTCACCATTTTTGAACTTTGTTCCAGGTCCTGAGTTTCATGGTTGCATCCACTTTAGAGAATTGCAGTGAGACAGGCTTGCCTGTAGTGTGTGGTTCCTCGCCTGTTTGGCAGCTGCACTCCGACTTTGAAAGAGACCTTGTACAGATCAACAGGCACTCTGTTGTTACTGCAATTAGTCTCAAGGTGGCCTACTTTACTTGCATAGGGCCACATTAGCGCAGTCGATAGGAGACCTGCTTTCAAATCCAGCTGCGACTCGCTGCAGCCCAGGGAGCGTGTTCGAAACTGGGCAGTTCCTGGGTTCACCCAACCTCTAGATAATGAGTACAAGAGTAAACACACTGGGGTAAATGAAGGAACGTCACTGCAGCTACAGAGTTGCGTGCAGACAGCGACACAGGTAGACAGTTTCTTATCAGCTGTCCGTACGGGGGGCAGAGCGCTTGTGGTCTATAACCGTGTGCAATGACGCTGGTTTACATCTCCCGACGTTACCTTTTTTTGCACAATTTAGCTTTTACCATTTTTTTTAAATATTCTTACTTACAACTTCTGGTACTCTTGGTCAGTTTGGGAACAGAGTTCAACTTTTAAAACCTTTAACACTGCAGCTGAGTTGAGTTAAGAATTGACATCACAGCACTTGGGGCATTCCCAGGCATGCTCCGTCCTCATCTTCAGCAGCCAGCGCAGAGTTCCAATACTGATGGTACTGGTCACAATCTGGTTAATTTTTAATACTGGAGATGAAAGCTTTGTTGATTATGGTGTCTGTTTAAAAGAATCCATAACAATGAAGATTAAACTTCTGTTGGTTAGATAGTCTGTTTAAAATAATTCAGATTAAATTCTCCTAAGAGATGACATTTGTAAAACATCATGGTGGTAGGAGCGGAAGGTCAAGAGGTTAGTTCACAACTCTGGCAATCTTAAGATTACTCTCTGTATTGACCATCTGGTGGCGTAGGACAGGGTGTCATGAGCCTGAGGACTTAAGGCCACATGGAGAGTGGGGTTTTTGTTTTGCCCAGCGAGAAAAATCTCCATCAGTTACCAAGAATTGAACCTTAGTCATCCACATGAGAGCCCAGTGTTCTGACCATCTGGCCAGTAATAATCACTCCAGTATAGGGTTCAAAACTAAAGTACAAAAAACATACACAGAGTAACCTGTGCAATGCCCAGTTGTAAACACGAAAATCTGGACACAATTGTAAAATGATGACTGCCTGCCTTCTGTGCCTATAGAGAACAACTCAGTAGTTCCCAATGTTTGTGGATCTCTCTTAGTTTTTGAAGTTCTGCTGTGGAATCCTCTTGATTTTGAGGGTCTGCTATGGACCCCATAACTTGTAATAATCTTACCAAAGTATTTACTATTGTGTTTAATTATTCGAATCACAAGATCCCTGTGTGGGTTCGGTGTTTATTTATTTTAACTGCTATTGAATCAACCATGTGCCGTCTCTACAAACAAGGTTGGCTGCAATAAATCTGCAACCCCCTCTGTCTCATGTCTTAATTCTATAATCTCTCAGACTGCTGTTTCCCCATCTCTTGATATCCTCCCACTTGTATCATTGTCTACCTCTTTCTCTCTCGCCTCTGACATTTGACTCCAGAAACGGTTTAAAAGAATGTTATGTCTTTTAATGTGGCTAAAATATCTAAACTGTCTAGATTTTAATGGGCAATTATGGACCCTTTTAATTTCTATAGGGATCCATGACCGGGAAACTCTGGCAGGTGTAATAAATTGCTGAGATTAGAAATAGAATTACCTTCCAGCAAAACAGCAAATGATTAATAGCCTTTTCATCCCTACTTTATTCTATCAGTGCCAAACATGGACAATAAATAGGGTATAAGAACAGAAAATAATTAGATATGAAATGTGCTGTCTCCACAAGGTCACTAACAACACGGTCATGTAGTGAGAATGCAGCCAGACCAAACTGCATCTGATACTTCTGATAGCAGAGCATCTGTGATGTTATGTTTTCACAATCAACATCACTGCACACTGGGCATTCTTATGTGAGCTGTCCTCCAATGCAGCAACCACTCCAAGGTATTTCTACTAATTGTTTACAGGAGAGGTTGGTTATAATGTCTTGTATCTCGACCTCGAAGGTGGCATAGATGTGCTTCACCATGCTTTACTCGTATGTCACGCAAAAGTATTAGTGTCAGATTCGTCATTTTCCACTAGCCCAAATATATGTGAGGAAGGCGAGGGGAAGACCAAGAAATATATGGATAAAAGGTGCAGCTGAAACCTGCAAAAGGATGAACAAATCTACCACCCAATAAGCGCAAGACAGAAAACCATGACACTGGGCTACAAACAAAATGTTAACATTTTAATAACATTAACAGTGAGACGACCCAAAACAAAACAAAACAAAACAGAACTTTTGAAGAAATCGTTTGCGATTTATGTATTTCGACGTCAGCATTTGAGTCATTCTATAAATTATAATGATAAAAGTTTCAATAAAAGTGTGTATAGGGCCCAATTATTGTAAAATTACTCACTAGAAAGAGAACATGTTTCGTTAACTCAACTAAGCGATCAAAGTTCAGAGATGGGCGGTTCGTCTTCTGCTGCTTTGGAACAGCTGAAAGGGCAGCGCTGAGGACCAATGTAAGCTCCAACAGTAAAAAATACAAGGGAACATTGTGAAGACCATCTATGAACGCGTTGAGTTGAGTAAAGAATTGACATCACAGCATTCGGGGAATTCCCGTGCTTGCTCCGTCCTCATCTTCAGCAGCTAGCGCAGAGTTCCAGGACTGATGGTACCGGTCACAATATGGTTATATGACCGTTTTGCCTTTTCTCTTAGTGTATTGAGCCAGCCAGACCCTCTGGTTACACCCAGATGCCTCATTCTCTCCAGGCAATAATAATATTGATTAGGCTCTCCTTGCAATAACGGTCGCTAGTTGGACGGCGACGGCCGCTTAGTCGGAGTTCAGTCCCCTGGCTGCAGTGCAATTACGGAGTGGAAAAGAGGGAACGACACAAATGACATAGTTAGGGGTAGGGTTAGGGTTTGGGTTAGGGTTAGGCTAATGTGAGTCGCAGCGCGTGGCCTAGACGCCATGTTGAACTCACTGTGTTTTGTGATTCGTCCCTAGTCCACTCCGTAATTGCACTGCCGTCCAAGTAGCAACCGTTATTGCAAGGAGAACCAAGTTGAGTCAAGAATTGACATCACAGCACTTGGGGCATTTCCCAATCATGCTCCATCCTCATCTTCAGAAGCCAGCGCAGAGTTCCAATACTGATGGTACCAGTCACAATCTGGTTAAATGTCTGTCTTGCCTTTCCTCTGGGTGTAATCAGCCAGCCAGACCCTCTGGTTACACCCAGGTGCCTCATTCTCTCCAGGCCATAATAATCTTCTTTCTCTACTGATTCCGTTGCTTGTTCCCAAAGGGCCTTGACCACATTTGCCTTGCTATGTATCAATTTACCACCGAGTGGTGCGGATCCAGCCAATTTGTCTGACTGTTCATTACCCACCACGCCGGTATGACCTGGAGAAAAGATCCAAAGTATGCTCACCACCAGTGACCTTTCCAGTGAAGCTTGCCACTCTGCTCAAAGCATCCCTGTCTTCATCTTTCTCAGCATGCTTTCAGAGTCTGTTACAATTATGAGATGTGTATGAATCTTGTTCTCTAGCCACCCGAGAGCTGCAGTTACAGCCTGTTCCTCCATTCTCATGTTAGATGTTGTGGTGTCATATGCTAGGCTGTCTTGTACTAAAGATTTTCCATTGGCTTTCGCTACGAACCCCCAGGCACACAGAGTTCTCAGTCTATCGTACGATAGGATGAACAGTATCCATTGCCATTCACAGCCCATATTACCTTTGACCTCCTCTTTTCAATGTTTGAGTTTCTCTTAGATATCTTCATTTCCTCAATCCAGTTGTTGCCCATTTCAGTGTCTTTTTGGTGAAGATAAAGAAACCAAGAGGAAGATGAGAAGGAAGAAAGGAAGAGGAGGGGGAGAAGAAGAAAAGAAGAAGAAGAAAAAGAAGAAGAAGGAGGAGGAGAAGAAGAAGAAAAAGAAGAACAAAAATGAAGAAGTAGAACTCTTAGAAAACTTAAAATACAAGAAACAAGTGAGGCAGAATACCGACAATTAACTAAAAAAAAAAAATTAGGTACAGGTATTAACAGTGATCCTTGTATGGCTGAGAATGAGACTGCGAATAAGATGTTTCTCAAAGAAGAGATGTCTAGTTTGATACCTGGAGTAAGCTTATGTGATAGTGTTTATGATAGTGACACAGATGTATATTTCAACTTAATGGACAAATCTATTTAGATGTAGAGAGACTATTTAATGGCCGCATTGTGATTATCCATAAGATGTTCATGAGCCTAAGTTAACTTCGGACCTTCATCATCATTATCATCGTCCATTAACACCGTGTGTCATTAGTTCACCAGCTGCTGTTGACTCAGCAGCTCCTTCTACCTTTTGACAGTCAGATGAGATAGACTTCATAGTCTTATGCCTAAAGCCTGCCCAGTCAGTAAATTTCTGTATCTCGATCTTGAAGGAAGTTAAATGTCGAATAGCTCAAGCAAAGGC